GTTAGTTGAGTTAAAAAATTATAGACGTTATCTATATAGTATTTCAAAAAAAAAACAAATTGAAATTACTATGAGCAAAAATACATGACAATAAAACTAATGTAAAAACGATGGAACATAATGAATGAGATTGTTGGAAGAAAATGATAAAATTCAACAAAATTTGAAAATATTTAATTAGATAATGAGAATATAAAATTTAGTGAAAGCACCAATTATATGTAAGTTCTTCTAATGCACTTTTAATAAATTATGCAAAGGAAATTATAAATAAGATTTCTGTCACTGCTAAAATCTAGATCGGATGGGTAAAATATAATATAAGTTATGTAACTATAAATTAAATGTATCTTACACCAACTGATAAATATGAAATTATAAGCATTATAAATTCTCTGAAAAATGGAAAAGATAAGGAAAAAAAAAGATAAAATCACAACTAAAAATTTATAATGTAATGCTGATAAATTAAATTCAAAAGAAAATATTCTAAATTAACATCGTTAATAACATGTTTAGTTAATACGGCAATGATGAAAAGAAATTTACAAACCTTTTAAAATATGATGCCATTATACCAAAACTTAAGGAAGGTAACGAAAGTGATCCAGATCATTTCAAACAAATTATTTTATTATCAGTTACATATCAAATGTTACTGAAAAGTATTTAATTGTTTAAAATTTATAAAATAGTCGTTCAAAGAAAATTTATGTGTAAATGTTAAGAAACTAATTTGTATGAGATTTTGTTTAAAAGAATCAAACAAATAATTGAAAATAATTTAGTATATTATAACAACTGTAGGTGTTTTCTGATAGTAAAAGTATTACAAAAACTAGTACTATAGATTTAATTGGAAATAATAAATTAAAGTAGACAAAACGAATAAAAAAATTTGCAGTAAGGTTTATTGTTAAAAAGTAAATAATTTCTTAAACAAAAAACATCTATTGTGTCTGGGTTGGTTACATCTACAGTATGGTATAGCCAAAAGGGGATGTATTTATTTAACAAATTAAAAGAGTTATGATGCAGTTAAAAACACTATTAGGTATATTTTTTTATCATTATCACAGTGTAATGACACAAAATTACATTTTAAAAATGTAAATATATTCAATTATATAAATTATTTATTTATAAAATATTAAATAGATTTAGCAAAGATATATGGTATTAGCTAAAAATAAAATCTATTGGAAATTAAAATTAGAAGATCTTGAGAATTTACAAATTCATGAAACAAAAAGGAAATATTTAGCAAAAGCTATTTGTATTAGGAACCAACACTTTTCAGTAATATTCCAAATAAAATAAGATCACTATTTAATGGTAATAAGATATATAGCAATCCAGAGTAAATGAAATGGATGACTGATAATGATAAACCTGAAAATATATTTATAATATAAAATGTATCTCATAAATATATAAAAATATTATTACATAGCAAATATTTTAAGGTGTATTTAAAATAATCAATATTCAGTATTGATCTATATGGTGTTCATAATGCATGTGCTATAAACAATAATTATTATTGTTAACTTAACTTTATACAGGAAAAATGATCTACACTCGTGTACATCTTGTCGATCATAATGTTTATTGTAACGGTTTTTAATATCAAAATAAACTATTTTTCAATTTAGACTAAAACATCACGTAAACTAAAACAAAAAAATTGTAGTTTTATGAAACATTTTGTTTGTGACGCTGGATTCATAGAACTATTTTGTTAAACATTTTGTTTGTGACGCTGGATTCATAGAACTATTTTGTTAAACATTTTGTTTATAACGCTGGATTCATAGAACTATTTTGTTAAACATTTTGTTTGTGACGCTGGATTCATAGAACTATTTTGTTAAACATTTTGTTTGTGACGCTGGATTCATAGAACTATTTTGTTTGTGACGCTGGATTCATAGAACTATTTTGTTTGTGACGCTAGATCAAAATAATCATTTTGTTTCTGATGCTAGCCTAAGATACTCATTTTCTGAGACGTTTTGTTTTTCTCTCTAACTTAATATAACAGCTTTGTGGAATGTTTTATTTCTGTTATTTCAAATGTTTGGCGGCTTCTTCAGGTATTCCTTTCCAAGAAGCGAGGTTTACTTTTGGGAACTCATTCGGCAACAAATAAAATCAGTACACGAGAATGGAAGCTTCCATTTTGTGTGAACATAAAAGTAAAGCGTTGTCCTTAAAAATCTTCAACGCAATCTGATTTATGTGACTATAGCTTTATTCTGAATAATTGCGGACAAAATACATAAAACGATTTTGAATAACGAGCTTGTATTATATATCAGTGTCCAAAACCACATGACGAATATATTTAATATCGTTATTTTATCATGATAATGGCCATAGAGTTACAGTTTTGAGTGTGATTTTGCATAATTCTGATTCAACGCGTTCAAGTATGTTTACAGGTCTCTCCTGATGACCAATAAAATTAAATCGAACCCTACACTTGGTATTGCTGGGGCACAGAAATGAAGCTAATAAAAAGGAAAAAAGGTCTCGTAAGTTAATCTACTCTAATACTGCCTAAACGAATTTCAAGTGCCGCAGCTATTGAGGATTCCCTCTTTTTGTTAATAATTTTCTAAATTACTTGCTAAAATATGATTGATAACCTAGCCATATGTTTGATCGAACCAAAAATAACCTAAAAACATAGGCCACAGAAATAATGAGGATGTGATGAAACGAAACATTAAAAGATGATTTAAATATAAACTGATTGTTAACGAGATTTCTTAGGTATCTAAGGAAATCTTTACGTATTTATTATGAAATAACGTAGTGTAATTAGTACTTATATTGTAATTTGCTGTGCAAGAACCTTTTCTTTGTAAAGGTTTCTTGTGTATCGTGATTTTATCTCTTTCGCATCCTTGTCATTAGACCTAATTACAAAATTTAAAGAGACGGATTTGAGCTCGAGTTCAGCCCTATACTATTAATATGCAGAAACAGTTTAGATCAAGAGAATGATTCGCACTACTATGACTGGTTTTTATAGTTGGATAAATGCATCATTTACTCTGTGAAGGTAATAAGGCGATGGCGGTGTCGATTTTACTCCAAGAGGAGAAACAAATACTTGCCCTCTTAATTTACAGCAGATCGGTTATAGGTAGATGATATGTATAAAGTAACTAATCTTAACAATATGTAAATGCTTGATTAAAGTACTTAATGGGAAAAATATAGTACATAATAACTATGAGATGTTTGGATATTTACATACATACCTCCAAGAATGATACGTTAACATTAGTGATAACGACTGGTTTATTTATTCGTATACGCGTGGTTCAAGTTTTTTCTTTTGCCAGTAATTTTAATATGTTTCTTTTATTCTGTGTTTTATTTCAGATATGCCTTCAGGTGATTAAAATAATTTACTTTAATGGCATGCTCGATGGGCATTAGAACCAAATTGACAAAATATATCAAGTGGCTAAGTATTAAAAAAAAGTACGATCGTAATAGATGTTACGATTTACTGTGATAACTTTCTATTGTTCTCTTTATTTTACGTATTATTATTATTATTATTTTGCAGTATTCGAGCGATTTACAAATATTAAAGTTTTTTTTTTATAATTTTATGATATATCAGAATATTACAGATAATGTTTTGGGTGAATATTTACTGAGCTTAGCATACATATATTCATATGGAAGGTTTTCTAAAGCTATACATTATAGAAAATTATTGATATTTTTCAATAGATTAATCTTTTCTGTATTTTCAACTCAGTTGTTAATATTCTGTCATAGATCCCGTGCAGGACATTTTAAATGTGTAATTTTTGTAGCCATGATGTGATATATGGGATCTAAAGCTTCAGTTTCTGTCATTGTGCAAGATAGAGTTAATTAATAGAGCTCTTGATATTTCCTTGTGCTGGAGAAACTTGGAAATGATAAGCAGTCATGATGCAGAGTTGTACGTATTGGTAACTGAATGTTTTCCTTCTCACTTGTGAGATAACGAGCTGACATTTTATTATTTTATTAAAGGTATTTGACAGATGAAGTATCATTTCTTTTCAGGATGTAAAGATATTATTTAGTTCTTATATCTTACGACCATATTATAGAATTCTCATAGCTCTGTTTCGACCCACATACATTTATTTTCGATGTTTTATGTAGGAATCTCATAAGAAGATACTTGTAACGTATCTGTTTTCCCACCTTTAACTGTTTGTTGTCCTTACTATAGCTGTACAACGAAGAATTACTACTACAGTATTGTTAAAATCACTGCAAGGAAAAATAGACCTTTTAAGGTCCCGATTAACGTAGTAATGGCCGAAACACCGACTACTTAATTATTTTTTCCATACAACGATTTCAGATTATTACTGCATATGCAATGTTGATAAAATCATTTGGAAACATCTCCTGTTATATTTAGATATATTTTAGTTTATTCCCTAGATCTGCGTCGCGTGACCAGCATCTTAATCCCCAGTGGTTCAGCGGTAAGTTTACTGACTTACAACGCTAAAATCGGGGCCTCCATTCCCCACAGTGGACAGAGCCCATTGTGTAGCTTTGCGGCAAACAAAAATCAATATCTTAATATAATTTTTTTTCTATAAAACAATATTTTGAACATATAAAATGTAATTGCTAATAGTAATAATTAATCTTAATATACATATTAGTTCACTATATACGTATACTTATATATATATATAGGTGTGTGTGTGTGTATGTATGTCTATTGTTTACGAAAAGCAGTGAGCGACAATAAAATAAATTCTTTTTCTGGCAAGTTGAATATATATATATGTACTTAGGAATGTTTACATTGTCGGTAAACGTACTCCTTACTTATCCGCTCGTGAACACATCTCAAGTTTTAGTGGTCTTCTGATGTTATCTTGATACACAAATATATATATAAAATATATTAAGATAAATTTATGGAGCACTAATATTTATTTTTATTTTCCAATAAACAGGATCGTCGAGATCTTGTCAGTGGTCCTGGTTCCTTATGTACTATTACTAGTATCGGAACTGGAGTCTCAGGTGCTAATTTCACATCCACTCCCCGACTGACTTATACTTCTAACTCTTCGGACTTTCAACCGCCTTACTTTCCTCCTCCTTACAACATACCACAGCAGCAGCTAGAATTTCACCACACTCATGTTGCCGCTGACCCCTACAACCATTTGAATAGCTTGACCACTGCTGCTCAACATCAACAACAGTACCACCAGCTTCACCCACCACAACGTACAACTAATATTCTTGGTTCACGCCGAGAGGATGAAGCTATTATTCTCCAAACTAACATGCATCCAGGGTTGTCCGTGACTTATGACCCTGCTCGCCGTAATGACCCTACGTATGCTGCTGTACGACGGCCGGACATCTTTATGCATAGTGGTCACCACGGACTAAGTGAACAGGATCTTCTTTGTTTGCACAATGTTGGAACTTTACCAGCACTTGAGGATGGTGAGGTAAGTCAATAGGAGCGTTTATTGGACAGAAATCATTTTGGGTAGTCAATAGGAGCGTTTATTGGACAGAAATCATTTTGGGTAGTCAATAGGAGCGTTTATTGGACAGAAATCATTTTGGGTAGTCAATAGGAGCGTTTATTGGGTACAAATCATTTTGGATAGTCAATAGGAGCGTTTATTGGGCACAAATCATTTTGAGTAGTAAATAGGAACGTTTATTGAGCAAAAATCATTTTGAGTAGTCAATAGAAGCGTTTATTAGGCAAAAATCATTTTTGGTCTTGGATTTTGTTTCTCTCTGAAATTGGATGCTACTGAAAAGTTCTTTAAATGCTATTTTGCGATATAACCCTCTTAAGGGTGGACAAGGAAACTTGGAAAGATTGAAGAAATACAACTGACCCTGTTGTTATCCAGTATAAGCTTGGTAAGATTGAATAAATACAGCTGGTTCTGTCGTTATACAGTATAAGCCTGGTAAGATTGAACAAATACAACTGGCTCTATTGTTATACACTATAAGCTTGGTAAGACTGAGTAAATACAGCTGGCTCTATTGTTATACAGTATAAGCCTAGTTTTATTGTTATACAGTATAAGCCTAGTTTTATTGTTATACAGATTAAGCATGGTTTTATTGTTATACAGTATAAGCTTGGTAAGATTGAACAAATACAACTGGCTCTATTTATACACTATAAGCCTTGTAATATTGTACAAATACAACTGGCTTTATTGTTATACACTATAAGCTTGGCATTGTAAGATTAAGAATTATACAAGGTTTTGTTGTTATGCATGAAACTGGTATATTAGAATAAACCAGGTAGCTATATGTTTATGTAGTATGACACTATTACAGATGAAGAATTTCGAGATGGTTCTACTCTCTTACAGTATGAAACTAATGTGATTGAACAACTACAGGGGCTATGATGTTAAAAACTGTGAACTTGGCTCTACGTTATACGGCACGAGTCTGGTAAAATTATACAAATCAAGTTAGATAACGCTAAATCAGTCCTATTGAACGCTCTTTTATTGTGTTACTGAGATTAAACACTGATATTTGAACTCATCTCGGTAGATTAATTGGATAGGAAAATAAGAATCATGGATGGTATTTGACTTACGCGTGCTTTAGATAATATTATTAATTCTCAGGGTAGCTTTTCGTATGCAGTTGTTTATACTTGGTGTTTGTCAATTTAGATATATTATCCAAAGCTGAATAATAATAACTTGAAACATAATTAATCATACTGTGATGATCATCATTAAAAATACCCTTTTGAAACACCGTTCTATTTACTGCATATATATATATATATATGTTTCAAGGAATCACAATGTGAATATAGTAATATTCTCTCTCTCTGTATATATATATATATATTAGGTCGTCAAG